GATGGACGAACAGACCCAGGAACTCCGGCTGATTCCATACGATTCGCTAGCGTCACATCATCACTCCAGATGTCGAATTGCCATTTGCGTAGACCCAAAACACCGCAAAGTACCGATCCGGTGTGCACACCAATACGCATGTTGACATCAACTCCGGTTGCTAATCGCACTTGCCTTCAAAATCGCCAACTAGAAATCTCCTATTTCTGGAGCTTAGAAGGATGCAGTGCCAGCTTTCGAGGAATGAATGACATATTGCTGTTGTTGTTTTGGTTTCTTGTCTCAATACAATGAGTCTAAAAGTATCCTTACAAAGGAGCTTACAAGGCGATTTCATAAGTAATCACAGGAATGTTCGGTCATTTTCATACGAATGCAACGGATGAAATCTTTGGAATGTGTGAATACCTCTTTGTTAATCAAATATTCATTTAGGAAAATCCAATCTTTCAATAAAGAGGATATTTTTTTCCAGTCTGCAAAAATGATAAATGACCAACTTTATCGTTTTAATCATCTCGAGTCCCATCACAACGCACATATCGGCATGATTTGGCCTGTTCACGGGCATTCCACTCACGCAATAATAACAATCACCAAGGAACTTGATGCGCATACATTGCAACTTCTTCAAAATCAACCTTTCAACAGTGCAAAATTCAAGAGAAGTGCAAAATATTGCGTGACTCCGCTCACACACAAGGAAATGTTGTATAATTCGCTTGGAAAAGACCTATATATCGCTAAAAAAGGTAGAAGTGAATCCAATCAAAAGTTCAAGTGATATTTGCCATTAAAATATCACTTGAACGCTAGTAATTTCATCCAAAGATGTATATTCAGCCATTTTCACTCGATATCATCACGACCAACCTGTGCATCTTGATCAAATTTCGTGTAGAGTTCATTGAGCGTTCTGACAAGGTCTTTTGCACTCAACTGTGATGCGAGCACCGTAAAATTGACAATATCCGCGAATAAGATACTGAAATTGTTGTTGCATAATACGGAAAAGTCAAAAAACCGTGTTTTAATCCAGTGAAAACCAGGGATTTCAGTGATCCTCTCATTGGAGAGACAATATCTCAATCATTTCAATGAAAATTTTAGTCTTTCCTTCGAATATTCCACGATTCCGTCCCAATTTTCCATGAAATTACAGCGATTATCCTCCTATCATCATCGCTTCAAATTCATCTATTATATCGTTAGCCCTCGCCAAAAACAAGTGCGGATGAAAGAAATTTGGAATTTTTTTCTTTAAGATGGTAGTCGATCGGCGATCAATTTCAAAATTTCAAGAGAGCAAACAACCAAAAAATGAGACAAACAAATGGAGCAGAAAGGCAATCGGATATCGTTATTTTCATGATGAATGGAGATTCGATATCCTCCGTTTTATATCTCGTTCTGCTTCTTAAATAGCCTTTTCAGCGCAGCACGATCGATTCCATTCGGATTTTGCGTCATCATATTTCAACCCATTCAAATTCACCTATCTGCTATATGAATGAAAACATATCTATGCCACAATTTATTTATTCAAACAAGGCACAGCAGTGCATTAACTTGAACGCTTCGATATCAGTTTACTATAGACGATACGCTCATCCATTTTGCAAAAATGTTGGTAGGTTGTTGGGTAGCTGAACGCACTCACCTTACATTCGCATGCACTTGAACGTGCAGCTCATGGAAGAGTTTATGATTCTTGCTCTTTTTATTCGTATTCTCTGATGAGGATGCAACAATCGCTTTGCTAACCTGAAACATACAAGTTCATCAACTCATCTACGCAAACTCATCACTCACTTATTGTGAGATCAGAGGATGCTTGAAGTTGATTGCTAAAGAATGTGAAGTGGAATATCATTGAGTTACTCGAGAAAGTGAAACAATCTTCTTGGAAACGTCGCATTTTGAGTGAATTTCCACTATCGTGTTAATGACATGGGCT